GATCAATGTGTTCATCTACCTCTCGGTTCCTGATTTCTATGATTTTTCTGAGAACCGTACCTGACGATGGGATGATTTCAATTTAAGATAAGGACTATTTATTTCTTTAATTTCTCTCAACGCAATGCGACTTTTCATAAAAATTTGATATGATGTGCACGCAACATCATGTAAAAAAATATAAATGTCGTAGCCAATATACTTAAAAGTAATAGAAAAATGATTATTAATATAAAGCAAATAAAACATTTAATTTTTATTTTTTATTTTAGGAAGTTAGCACATTATATGTGCACAAAATGACTGATTTTAGAGTGAATTCATGAAACTGCATATTTTCAACAACAAACTAGTCTAATCATTAGTTTAAAATGTAATTATGTAATTTGTACTAAAGAGTGGTGAAATAAAGACATCAAATCACAAATAAACTATTACCTGCCCATAAATAAACTGTTACAGAAATAGTTTCGCTAGCTATCAGTTTTATCTTTTTTAACCTTATCGTAGCCATCTACATACATATCTCTACATATGTATATGTTTGACAAGCAGAGCTTGAAGCGGTAAACGTCGAATAATTCTGAAAATATAATCTTTAACGAAACAAACAATTTTTATTTTTTACTTAAATAAAGGGTTTGGTATTCAATTCATTCAATTCAATTCAATATATATAAATATATTCAATTAAAAAACATATTTTCAAATTGTCCAAAAGACAAATTTTTCCCTATAAACTAACATGATTTTTAAGAAGCCATTTAACTGGTTTTACATTAATATCAGCGGTTGGAAAAAATATGGATAAATTCAGTGTTTCCGTTTGCCTTGTCATTGTCTCCTTTTTACATGCCAAAGCATGATTGTGGCATGATTTCGAAGTTAATGGTATTTAAAGGTGGGAATAATTTAATAACTTCCTTTTCTGATTTTGATCGATTCGAATTATGTACCGGTGAAAAAAAGGACATAATTTCTTAGAGATAATCCTTTTTGTCTCGACGTTCTTTAAATATTTACCTATTGAACATTGAGAAAAAAAAAGAGTTTAAGCTAAAAAATGACTAATATAAAAAAGAGTTTACCCATTTTTGTTTCTTCAAAAAAATTATTTTGAGAAAGATTGAATTCTTTTGAGATTTTTTACTTCTTACACGTAAATATATTATTTATTCTTGGAATAGGGTTTAGTATCCATTGTTGTTATGTAAAACATTTTGAAAATAATGAATGCCACAATGTAATCTTTTCAGATCCGTGCGCAAACCTGCCTTGTAGAAATGGAGGAATATGCGTTGCCGGTAGATATGGTGCTCAATGTGTATGCCGTGCCCCATATGTGGGAACATATTGTGAAACAGGTAAATACACAGTCTTGTTTTAACGAAACTGATAAGGGTTTAACTGAATATGAGAATTCTCACTGCTCTTTGAAGTTTTAAATATGAAATAACAAAAGAAAAAAAAATACTTTCATCGTTTATATAGTTCGAACCACCTTTATGAGCAATTCTGCATAGAAAACATATCAATCCGAAACTTCCGACTGAAAAACGTTAAAAAGGTATCTACAAATTCGTTTTTCTTTCAAAATATATGAACTGAGAAATATTTACTTCTTTCCGTTTTACACGTGAATATATTATGGTGCCTAGGAATAGGGTTTAATATCCATTATGTAAAACATTCAGAAAGTAATCAAAATGTTTTCTTTCTAGATCCGTGTGCACCACTGCCTTGTAGAAATGAAGGAATGTGCGTTGTCGGTAGAAATGGTGCCGAATGTGTATGCCGTCCGCCATATGTGGGAAGATATTGTGAAACAGGTAAATATGCAGTCTCGTTTTATTAAAACCGATAAGGTTTTTTACTGATTATGAGAATTCTCACAACTTTTTCGGGTTTTAAATAAAAAAGAAAAAAAGAAAAAGTACTTAACTTGTTCGTTTATATAGTTCAAACCACCTTTATGAGTTATTCAGTAAAGAAAATATATCAATAAGAAACTTCTAACTAAAAAACGTTAAAATTGTATGTTCAAAATTTTACCAATTTTTTCTTTCTTTCCAAAAATATGTATTAAGCATGATTTACTTCTTTCCGTCTTGTCTTACATGTGAATGCATAATGGTTTCTTCGAATACTTATTAATGTTCATTTTTATTATGTAAAACTTTTTGAAAATAATAAATGTTCCAATGTTTTCTTTTCAGATCCGTGCGCACCACTGCCCTGCAGAAATGACGGAATGTGCGTTGTCGGTAGAAATGGTGCCCAATGTGTATGCCGTCCTCCATATACGGGAAGATATTGTCAAACAGGTAATAAATATACAGTCTCCTTTCAACAAAACTGATCAAATGTTAATTGAATATGAGACTTCCGACTGCCTTTTAGGGTTTTAAATATGAAATAAAGAGAAATTACCATAGATTGTTTACATCTTTCATACTGCCTTTATTAGTTATTATGTAAAGAAAATATATAAATAAGAAACTTCTTACTAAAAAACTTTAAAATGGTATCTGGATCATTTTAAAAACCAAGCACACTTTCTCTTATTAGTCCGGCACTTTCTCTTATTATATTTCTTACAATTTTGTACCCAAGCAAAATTTAAGCATTAAATAATAAATTTCAGATTTTTTTTAAATATTTAATATGATTCTGAAACTTTCAATTACGTTTCTCCTTTACTGTTGCAATTAGGTTATAAAAAATTGTTTCCTGAAAAATGCTATGCCCCAGCAACTTATTTAGCTTTTTTCATTACATTTCTTTTACATAATATTATTTTTAATTCATAATTCAGGGTCCTTACTGTCTTACTGTGTTCCTAAATATCATTCCTTTCTGTTTTTTTGTATTAGTTTTCTGTATTTTTATGTCTTTTAAAGAGAACTTATATGTGTCCCAGAAATGTGTCACCTCTACTTTATTTTTAAAATTCATGCAAGAAATACATATTAAAAAGTTGACAACAGTAGACATTCATGCACTTCTATTTTTTTAGTGTTCTTCTAAGGCAGCCATTTTTTCAGGAAATGAAATTTGAAGAATAAATTGGATGATTAATGATTTTTTTGAGTAGGGTTTATTTTTTGTATGTTTCCTATGTTACCTTACATTTTTACTATAAATAATAACAATAATTGTAGTTTATTTTATTTTTAAATTATAAATAATACTTAAAAAAAAATTCCACGTAGCTTTGTAATGTTTCTGTTCAAACATTAATTTCTGAGAGAATTTAAATTTCAGTTTGTCCCTGTGTTACCATGTTTTTGGTAACACATGACATCACAAAGTAACGCAGGAGACTTGAATGAATTTTCTGTACTATTAAGTTGCCAAGACTTGGGTAAATAAATTTTGTGCAAAATTATAATTTACACCTACAAAGACACATAAAGAACTAATTTTTTATTAACTTGAAACAGAATTTTTTAAACTAATAATTGGTAGTGTTACTTTAAAGGACCATTAAATTTTTATTTTGCGATCCTTCCATAAATAATTTTATTCCTATAATACAGAGGTTATTCTTATTTTTGTGTTCTTTTTTTCGATAATGTCATTAATAGCTGCTGAGAAACAACTCCGTTATAGAGAAAGGAGAAAACTTGATAAAAATAAAGTAGAATGTAACAAATAGGCTCGTGATAGATAGCATAATACAAGTGATGTGTCTGCAAGAAAACATAGATTAGCAAGAAAAAAGTGATGTAATATTAGAACAAGGAAAGTGTAAAAAAAAAAAAAACCGGTTTTCCATTTTTAACTTCAAATATAATAAAAGAGTCAACTGGCAGTTTAAGGAAGAAATGAGGCAAGATAGTGCAAAACTTCATGAGGAGAAAATAAAACTTAAAATGGAAAATAAAAGAAATTACACAAAGGGTAGAAAAATGAAGAAAAATGGTGTATCGAGCAAAGTTTACGAATAGATACGAGGATTGTAATTTAACTCCACGCTTTGAAACTAAGTAATTTATGAGAAAACATTTTCCTGGTTACACCTGAAATAAAAAGATTTCTACACAACTTTTTAAATACAATGCTCTAACACATTGCGTATCATCACAGTACAAAAATCTATGAGAAAGAAATAAGAAAAAAATCTTAAAGAATATCGTGACAAATAGGGTGATAAAAGAGTACAAAGTTGAGAAAAAAGCTTCTCAATAAAAATAACAGTATTCAAGAATTTTATATAAGAAATGACATCACACAATGGAGCAACTGCAGGAAAGAAGGAAACTGCAACAAAGTATTCTGAAAAGAAAAGTTTCCTATTAGATACGACGAGAAACTTATATAAAAAGTTCTTTGAAAATGGTGAAAAGTGCTCTCATGCTTTTTATGCTACAAACCGTCCCTTTTATGTTTTGCCACCTTCAGTTGACACACAATATACATGCTTATGAAAATTGGAAAGTAATGTAAAATTTAAAATAACTGCTTTTAAAAAGTTGGAAATAATTCCAACCAATAACATTAATCATCTAATTGAAGCAACATTATGCAGCCCTGATTAAAAAAGATTGCATGTGTAAAGAATGTTCATCTTGTTACAGAAACAATGTTCTTTTTAATGCAATAAACAGAGATGCAAAAGCCAAATAGAATTATAAAAATGCTCTTTATGAAAAAGAGGGAAAGAAACTAAGTGTAAAGAAGGTTTCAAAAATGATTGACTTCTCCATTTTCAACACTAGCTAGAATTTAACCTCTTCATAAAACATATATTAAATATTCAGAAACAATATGAAGTTTAAAAATCTCCAACCTAATGAAGCTGTTAGACATGTAGATTTCAGCGAGAACTACAACCTCGAATTATTTGAAGAATTCAAGCACATCATTATGGTGCTTCAGAAAATTTAATAACTTTAAACATTGGGCTTTGTGAAATTGAAAAAAAAATCTGTATCATTTAGCACTGTTTCTGCAAGCTATAAACATAACCCCAGTGCCATATGGGATCTTTTAACGGCCATTTTGAAAATGGTTAAGGAAACTGATCCTGAGATAGACATTCTTTAATTTTTTCTGATGGTTGTTCCACTCAATATAGACAGAAAAATAATAATTATTTATTTAGTCAAAGGCTTTTTCAATATGGTTTCATGCGAGGCACGTGGTCTTTTTTATTAATCCCAGCATGGAAAAGGGGCAGCGGATAGAATTGGTGGAACTTTAAAGCGAATAGCAGATCAAATTGTGGCATGTGGTACAGTCATAACAGATGTGCACCAGTTTATACATCGTGTGCGTAAATCCACTAAAATAAAACCATTCTGCATCACTGAAGAAGCGACTTCTAAATTCCTATGGTGAAAGGGACAACATCAGCTAACTGTAGAATAAGATGGTGGATATCTCTGTTTTAGATCAGTTGCTTTTGAGGAGTACAAAGTAGAAGGGAGTTTTGTCATTGCTTATAACAACTGCCAATCCAGAAATAAAACAAGATAAGAAAACTTTTATCTCAGGAACAGATTCAATTCACTTACATTCAGTTTGATTATGTAAATAGGTATTCTATAAAATCCAAATTTAAAAATGAAAGGAAGTTGAATTTTCTATCAATTTGATGGCTCAGTTGATGTTTATGAAAAATAAAATATGTCGTAATACGTTTCAAATTGTTTAACTCTTGGCGTTAAATACGTATGTCCACTTTGTTACTTTAGTGTCCCCTGTGTTACCCTATGTCCCCTGTGTAACTGACATTTATTTTTTACCTCAAAAAAGACAAAAACACTTTAATTAAAAGTATAATAAGAAATATTTAATGCATGATAGATATCATTATGAATTCTATAAATTTCTCTTATCAACGTATTTTTTAATGAAATTATGTAAACTTTTAAGTTGTAAAAATATTAAAATACTAACAAAGAGGACATAATTTGCTTATTTAATGACAATTATACATGCATAAGTAAAAAAAACTTTATCTGTCGAAAAGAAATTTCACATCCAAGTGTTACCTTACAAAATTGTTTATTTCTTTCTCGACTTGAAAATGGGATGATAATTTAAATTTTGGTAACACAGGAGACATTTTTCAGTCTATGCGTCGAAGTTTTAAAGTGTAGTGATTAATTCAAAAGTTCGCTGTCAAAGCTTGATTTTAATTTTTGAATAAGTGATTAACCTCCTCAGAAGAATTTTGATTACAATTTTTTTTTCTATTTCATATTTATCAAAAGTGATCTGTATTTTTTGAATGACCCATCTGCAAAAGTTTACCTCATTTTTTTTCTCTTCAAAAAATATGTATATAGCAAGGATTACTTCTTTCTGCCTTACATGTGAATATATTATGGTTCCTTTGAATAATATTTAATGTTTATTTTTATTACGTAAAACATTCTGCAAATAATAAGAGTTCCAATGTTTTCGTTTCAGATCCGTGCGCACATCTGCCTTGTAGAAATGAAGGAATGTGCGTTGTTGGTAGACATGGTGCCCAATGTGTATGCCGCCCTTCATATACGGGAAGATATTGTGAAACAGGTAAATATGCAGTCTCGTTTTAATGAAACTGATAAGGTTTTAACTGAATATGAGAATTCCCTCTGCTTTTTTGAGCTTTAAATTTGACATAAAGAAAGAAAAAGAAATTTAAATTGATTGTTTATATATTTCAAGCCATCTTTATGAGTTATTCTGCAAAGAAAATATATCAACAAGAAAACACGTTAAAATGTTATCTACGCAATTTTACCTAATTTTTTTTCTTTCAAAAAATATACATTAAGCAGGATTTACTTCTTTCCGTCTTATATGTGAATATATTATGGTCCCTTGGAATGACGCTTAATATTTATTTATACTATGTAAAGCATGGTTCCTTGGAATAGGGTTTAATGTCCATTGTTATTGTGTAAAACATTCTGAAAATAATAAATGTTCCAATGTTATCTTTTCAGATCCCTGCGCAGGACTGCCTTGTAGAAATGGCGGAATGTGCGTTGTCGGTAGAAATGGTGCCCAATGTGTATGCCGTTCCCCATATGCGGGAACATATTGTGAAAGAGGTAAATATACAGTCTCGTTTTAATGAAACTGATGAGGTTTTAACTGAATATGCAAATTCCCTCTGCTCTTTTGGGTTTTAATTATGAAATAACGGAAAAAAATTACCTTTCGTTTATATACACAGCTTAAAACAATTAAAGGATATTGTATGTCTTGCATAAAATAACGGTACAAATTTTTTTTAAATATAAAATGGAAGAAGAGAGTCCCAAATGCAACTTTTTCTTATTTTTAAACTTCGTAGTATGCAAATTGTGAGTTTGATGTCGAAAGCGACATTTTGGTGGCAGTGAAATTGATTTGGCTTTCAGCTTAATGTGAGACAAAGAGGAAAAGAATGCTTGACATTCAGTCGTAAGTGCGTTGTTTCGATGAGGGCGATGTCCCAATGAAGTCATTTAACCTAATTAAAAGCTTGGAGAATTGCTGCCTAGTTAAAGAGTTTCCGAACTCAAGCAAAGTAGCAGAAGTCGTTGTAGTTTCAGAAAGTGATTTCTGAGATCTGGAACTGTTTTTCTATATTTTGCAAATATTTGACTATTTTGCTTCCTTTTTAAAAGGTATAGCATGACATAAGTACTATGAAGTGGTAAATGATATAAGCCTACGAATTATTTAGAAATAGTGGTTGATAAAAATCTATTAAATTGAATTTATTAAACCAAGAATCACAATTGATAAACTACCACTTTAAAATATATTAATTCTGTCCGGAGCAAGTTAACATCTCTGTTTATATAAATAAAACTATTTTTGTGTGTTCTATATTGCATTAATTTCTTCAAACCATTTTAGTAATGATAATAATATAAACAAACAAAAAATTTTCTCGAATTATGTGTTTCTAATAATCTTGGCTTCGCCGGTCACTGCTGTTCGGAGCAAGTTGGCATCTCTGAGAAACTTCCAACAAAAAACGCTAAGATGGTACCCAAAGAAGTTTACCTCATTTTTTTTCTTACAAGAAATATACATTAAGCAAGATTTTCTTCCTTCCGTCATATATATGAATAAATTCCGACTAAAAAACGTTAAAATGGTATCTACAAATTTTTTTTTCTTTCAAAATATATGTACTGAGAAAGATTTACTTCTTTCCTTCTTACATGTGATTATATTATGGTGCCGAGGAAAAAAGTTCAGTGGTCATTTTTATTATGTAAAACATTCTGAAAATAATAAATGTTCCAATGTTATCTTTTCAGATCCGTGCGCAGGACTGCCTTGTAGAAATGGCGGAATGTGCGTTGTTGGTAGAAACGGTGGTATATGTGTATGCCGTGCCCCATATGAAGGAACGTATTGTGAAAATAGTAAAGGTAAGCAGTCTCGTTCTGATGTAACTAATAAGGTATAAACTGCATATGAGAATTCCCTCAGCTCCTTTGGGCTTTGAATATGAAATAACAAAAGAAAAAATATTACCTTGGTCGTTTATATATTTCAAACCACTTTTATGAGTTATTCAGTAAAGAAAATATATCAATAAAAAACTTCCCACTAAAATGATATCCAGAAAAGTTTACCTAATTTTTTCCTGCTCAATATATGTATTAAGCAAAATTTTCTTTAACCTGCAAATTTCAAATCTTTAGAAATTGGAAATTCTAAATTGGAAATTCTAAATTGGAAATTGTAAACAATTTCACTTGTCTTGGTTCAAATGTTAATACCTTAAACGATTATATAAGAACAGAAGTAAGAGAAAAATAAAGATTATATTAGTTAATCGCGATGCCTTCACGGATTAAGAATATTTTTTAAGTCAAAATTAATTAAAAAATGAACAAAAATAATGCTGTATAAGACAATCATTAGACCTGTCTTAATTTAAGGATCCGAAACCTGGTCTTTAAACAAATCACAAGCAGACCTGCTTGCTGATTTTGAGAGAAAAGTATAGAGAAATATTTTTGGTGCTGAAAATACGGATGGCTTATAAAGACAACAACTCAATTTTGAACTATATAGGCTGTTCTAGGAAGCTGATATCAACAAATTCATCAAAATAAGTTGCTTATAAGCTTGCGGGGCATATTTGTAGAGTGAACCTTTCTTCCTTGACATTTAAGATCTTCAATTGCAAATCAATCGGAACTAGAGTTAAAGGCTGGCCTTTGTTTGACTGTTGGCTTGCTGTGTGGTTGACTTGGTTTAGTCAAATGGTTTGAGTGTGTGGAAGAGGATTTCAAAATGCTAATAATTAGCACTGGAGAACGGAGGAATGTTCTGGGGAAGACTCTAAACCACAAAGGGCTGGCATGTCATTCGACGAAAAAGATTTACTTCTCTCGATCTTACATATTATGGTTCCTTGGAATAGAGTTTAATGTCCGTTGCTATAATGTTAATCATTGTGAAATTAATGAACGTACAATTTTTTTTCCAGATACAAATGCAGATCAATGTAGAAATATTAATTGCAGAAATGGTGGAATGTGCATAAACAGTAAGAGTGGCGCTCAATGTCTATGCCGTTTTCCTTATGAGGGAAAATTTTGCGAAACAGGTAAATATATGAACCTCTTATTATCTAAGCATGTAAGATTTAAACTGAATGTAAAAGTTACCACCTGCTCTCTGTGGGTTTGGAAATGTAGTTAAGAAAAAAATTATCTCAATATTTCTAATGATTTCTTTTTGTTAAATTGTTAAGAAAATACATTAATAAGATAACTCTGACCCCCCCCCAAAAAAAAAAAACGTTAAAGTAACGTTTTTTAAAAGAAAAATTCAGTGGTCGTAGCGTATTTTAAGTGGTTAAAAAGGGATTGTCAATTTTCCTTATAACACCAAACGAAGACTGCGACAAATGGTTCTTCTTTAAAATCTACTATTTTAATATTATAAACAGATATTTTATCATTATAAACGGAAATTCACATTCTGGTCACTTTCGAATGGCGATGGAACTGGTTAGAAGAAATCGGATCGAAGAAGCAAGTTTCAGTTGCATAAAGGTGTAACTACTCCTATCGCTTCGAAACTTGAATTTTCCAGAATTATCATTCTGTCGCTAAAATGGTCCTCAAGTATCACCAAGTCGGCAAAACTGTCGCCAAACCGAGTTTTCCGTAGAAAATGCATTCAGCGTTATTTTCTTTCTAAATTACGTTAGAATTACGCGAATTTTTTTGAAAATTGTGTAATAAAACTGTCTATTAAGAATCTACTTGAAATATTTAGCCTAATAAAAAATATTTACAAAATTATACTCCTTTTTACAAATTCGTAACATTGCTCTCCCCTCAAGTGGTGCACGTCCCGGGCAGAACAATCCCCGACAGCACTAAACTACATTATAAGACTTGGCACTACAAAAGTTTAACTATGATAGTAACTTAAATTAACACAAAACAGATAAGCACACATTAGAAAATAAATTAATTTTACGTTATTTATAATGAAAAACACTATGGTTTAATTAATTTACACCATGATTAGGGGCTAGTCTATTGTAATGTATTACCTTTGATTTTGAAGATGGTGACTTCCTGATTCGAACCCCACGACGTGAAGCAGCCATTTCAAGCACCGCCTATCATCAAATTTCCATTTTATGTATAACACGCCACTTCTAATATAGAGTGAATCCCATAGGGCCCAATATTGTTTAGTAACAAGGCTGTAGTTGTTAGGGAATATAATATCAATAAGACGTCTGTACTTATTGATAACTATGCATTGCAGATTATCCATGAAAAAGATATAGGAAAACGTCTAGTAGGCGTCTATGTTTGTTCCATGACGTCTACTGGATCATGCGGACGAACTCCGGACGTCAATTGGATGAATTGTGACGTATGGGCATTTTCGATAGAAATAATTTTACTATTTTCTTCCGAAAATTCTACTTCAACTGAATTCTTTCTAATTTTATTTTTTTAAAACTTTTTTGGAGAACTTCCTTTACACAGGATATTGCTCTTTTAATTTCATTCTAGCTGAGTTTCAGCTGCTCTTGACTGGGGTCCATCTCGGTTACCATCTTCTCTAGGTTGGCGTCAAACTTGGCTAACTTTCAGTTGCTCCTGGTTCATTTGTTTTTCCATCCTGAAGTATCTCAACCAACTTATCCCTAGTTATATTGCTCTTGTCCCCACTCCCATCACAAAGAGGGTTCGCGTGGATGAACAAAGCTGTCTTCAAGCCTCCAAAAATTTATTATCAGACATTTCTAGAAGATACAGCAATTTCCAGTGCTAAATTATAGCACAAATATCAGTGCAACACACAAAATAAAGTTTTCAAAATTTCAAACGGGTCTCTAGCAAAATAACTTGGGCCATCATTGGGCCAATATTCATGAATCTTGGCTCAATAACGATTCAAATGACCTTTATTTCCCAATATTGGAACTATATAAAATTTTTCAATTCGCAAGATATTTTTTTACAACCAATTTTCATTTCATCAGCATTCATTTTACTACCAATATAGGTCCTTTATAAGTGTTATATTCACCCGATATTTTGTATCCATTATTTAGCCAATGGAGGTTCTATATTGGCCAATGTTGGCCCTATATAGGTCATTCTGGGACCCATATTAAAAAATCTAGACATCCCAATATGGGTCGCTCGGTGCATGTTCCATATCGAGCCAATTTTGAACCTAACTGGGGACCATGGTAAAATTGTTGCTAGGGGTCAATGAACTCATCAGAGACTCGCAGACACAAGCAGTCACAAGCAATCTTTTACACATATTTCATATTCGTAAAAGTATTAAGCAAGATTTACTTCTTTCCGTATAACATATAAATATATTATGGTTCCTTGGAATAAGGTTTAATGTTCATTGCTGTAATGTTAATCATTTGGAAAATAAAGAACGCGCAAATGCTTTTTTCTTTCCAGATACAGATCTATGTAGAAACATTGATTGCGAAAATGGCGGAAAGTGCATTAACGGAAAGAGTGGTGCTGCATGTCTATGCCGTTTTCCTTATAAGGGAGAATTTTGTGAAATAGGTAAATATACGAACCTCTTGTTATTTATGCAGATAGGATTTAATTTGAATGTAAGAGTTACCCCATGCCTTTTATGAGTTTGGAAATGTGGTCACAAAAAGAAAACCATGCTAGTCTCAATTTTAAAACGATTAATATGTAAAGTAAATACATCAAAAAGAAAACTCTGACCAAAAACGTTAAAGTGATATTTTTAAAAAGGAAATTGCTATTAAAAAAAAAGTTTTTTTTCTTCCAATGTTTGCATGGGGAATGAGTTAAGTCATACAGGGATCAGAAGAGCCAATTTGTTGGCCACTTTTCCAGGGCCACCATAGGTGTGCCAAGTTCCCACAGTAAGGACAGATAGTATAGATAATAAACAACATGCATGCCTTGCCGGGGATTCGAACCCAGAACCTTTTGATGCTAGCCCAGTTCTCTGACCCCTACAAAAGGCCGGTCAGCATTAGCAAAAAGTATATTTGCTTATTTACACACTTTTTTAAAAATAATATTAGTTTCGTTCGAAATCTTTCTACTTGTAACAGTGGTCGTAGTGTGTTTTAAATAGTTAAAAAGGAGATGCCAATTTTTTTATAACAACAAATGGAGGTTTTAAAACAGCCTTTTAAGACGTAGCCTGTACGATTGTTAGGGTTAGATATTTACCCAAAGTGTAAATATATTCATTTTGAAACAAGTTTAAACTGCGCCAATAGTTTCTTCACTAAAATCTACCATTTTAATATTAAAAGTAACCATTATAAACAGAAAATTACATCTTCATTTTAATGAGGTATTCCAGTCCGTATGGATTATCTTTCCAGAAACTTAAAACGTAACTCAGTATTTGGAGACATCTCTAAAGAATAGTTTGATGTAAAAATTAAAAAAAATAATATTTCCGTTGTAAAAATACGTTCTTTGTTTCAATTTGTTTTAAAAACATTTTTTTAAATTTAATATTTACCTATAGAACATTGAAAAAAAGTATTAAAAATAAGTAAGGTTCATTATAATAAAGGTTTATTTTAATACTTGGGGCCTGGGTCGCCTAGTTGGCTGGGCGCTGGACTCACGTTTCTGAGAATAGAAGTTCGAATCCAGCAGTCCGAAGATTCCGTGTAGTAAATGGTGAGTTATCGCATCCCCCCTGACTTAATGGCCAATGGCAATAAAAACAGCAACGTGACTTCTTCTTCTTCTTCTTTAAGTGGCTTTTCTTTTCCTTAAAAAAACAGATTTTTTCTCTTTTCGTCTCGTAAGTAAATATGCAATGATATGCTTCCTTGAAATAAGCTTTAATGTTTATTTTTATAATGTAAAACATTTTGAAAAAAATAAATGTTGCCATGTTATTTTTTCAGATCCGTGTGAAATAATTTCTTGTAGAAATGGAGGAATGTGCGCTGTCGGTTTAAATGGTGCTCAATGTTTATGCCCTTCCCCATATGGGGGAAATTTTTGTGAAATAGGTAAATATATATTGTGGTTTTTATCACCCTAATAAGGTTTTACTTTATTGTAGTACTTTTGCATTTATTAGTTTTAAATATGAAATAATAAAAGAAAAAAAATAGCTTGATCGTTTCTGTATTTCAAACCAACTTTTTTAGTAATTCTTTTAAGAAAATGTATCAATAAGAAGCTTCCGACTAAAAACTGCAAAATAGCAAAGAGGCTATCTAATTGTTTCTTTCAGAAAATATGCATTAAGCAAGATTTCTTTCCTTCCGTTTTACTCATGAATATATTATGGTTCCTTGGAATAAGGATAAATGTTTATTGATACAATGTAAATCATTTTGAAAGTAATGAATTCAAAAATATTGTTTTTTTTAGATACAGATTTATGCAGAAATATTACTTGCAGAAATGGCGGAAAGTGTATAAACAGTAAAAATGGTGCTCAATGTTTATGCCGTTCTTCTTATGAGGGAAACTTTTGTGAAATAGGTAAATATATGATTCCGTTTTAATACAAATACTTTGGCTTTTAACAGGATGTTGAATTCCCTCTTTACTTAGGGCTGTGAAAATGTGGTAACAAAAAAAAACTTGATCATTTATGTATTTTAGATAATCCCTTCATGTTAATCTGTAAAGTTAATATATTTCTTACTTAAAATGAACGAGTTAAAATAACTCAACTTGAGTGAAATTTCACTCATTTGTCTGAAAAAAAAGGAGCCTTTTCAGTTAAATTCATTTTCTTGAGTTAAAATCACTCAATTCAAAGAGTCAACTGAAATAACTCAAGTTTAAGCACATAATTTTAAATCGAATTTGAGTGACATTTAATCGTGTTTTGATTGATTATCAGTATCACTTGATTACATCGTTTTAAGTCAAACTTGAGTGATTTTTAATCATTTATGATAAACTATCACCATAATTTAAGTACATGATTTTAACTCAAACTTGAGTGAATATAAGTTATTTTTGATTCATAATTAGCATCCTTTGAGGGAATTTATTTCAATCATACTAGAGTTATTTCCTACAACTTTTTATTTCTTCTTGAATGTCATTTAAATCACCTTTGAATTAAATTACTCCTTTTCAGTCTATTCATTAAATATCAAAAGAAAAAAAAATTCTAAAAAACTTTACACAACTAATATATTACCACATATGTACTTTGACAGAAATTCGAGCACGGAATCAGATATTTTTTTAATATTTCATAAACATTATCCACAATTAGCACTTTTAATAAATTTTTCTTCTGAAATAATTTAAATGTTTAGTATATTATTTAAAATCCCTGAAAAACAGATTATTTAAATGGAAAGTGTATGGAACATATTTTAAGTAATAGTATCTTAAAAATAATAGTATATTAAAACTACGAGCAACAAAGTATATTTACTTACCAAAAATTAAAACAGCGCTTTCTTCAGAATTACCACTATTAATTAAATGATCGTTTAGATCATCTTAATTCAAAATATTGAGGGACCTATTTGCAAGAAAAAAAATTAAGCGTAAAATGGAAGAAAGAAAGAACATAACTTATTTAGATCGTAAAACTTAACAATTTTGTTTAGATTTATTATCATTTGCTTTTTAAAATAAAGTGATACAAATTTCAGCTTATAGCTCGTACACAATTAAATAATGAATAAATCGCTCATTTATCATGCTGGAGTGAAAACAACTCAAGTATCGCTTAAATATCTGCCGCTCAAGTTCGATTTGACACAAAGCAAGTATTTCATTTAAACATAGGTGTATTCAACTAAGTTAATTTGAAAAAATTTCACTGTTTTTGGAGTAGGGGAATTCACTCATTTATTTTAAGAGAGTACGGTAAAAGTAATAAATTCGCTTAAATTATTGACTTTAACCGACTTATTTGGTTATTATTAATATTGACCGGTTAATATTAATAATGAATGACTATTCAAAATGACCACAAACCTCTTTAAATTCGTCTAATTCTGAAAAACTTAACAGATCTAATATATCACACAATAATGGAACATAACAATTTGGTTTAGATTTATTATCGTTTGCTTTTTAGAATAAAACGAAACAAATGCCAGCTTATAGCTTGTGGACACTTAAATAATAAATAACTCACTCATCAAATCTCACTGGAGTGAAAACAACTCAAGTATCGCTTAAATATCAGCCACTCAAGTTCGATTTAAAGCAAAGTAAGTATTTCACTCAAGCATAGGTGTATTCAACTAAGTTGATTTGAGTGGGGTAATTCTCTTATTTATTTTAAGAGAGTACAGTAGAAGTAATAAATCCGGTTATTATTAATACTAACTGGTCAATATTAATAATAACTACATCTTTTGATCAAAGTGAGAAAAATCGTAAATTATTCCCTTTAACAGGTTATTAATAACCAATGAACTTTGGTCAATGCAATTAAACGGTTTAGATAGCAGTAGGATTTGGGTATGCCTATTTGTAAATGTTCTACGGTTAAAGCGATAAATCCGGTTTTATTAATACTAAACGGGGAAAATTAATAATACCCACTTCTTTTGGCCTAGAAATAAAAAGGGTAAATTTCCGTATCGTGATCTGTGGCAAAATAATCGCCATGTCTTGTCAACTTCCGGGCAGCAGTCAGCGAGAAACTACATAAAAAAAAAAANAAAAAAAAAAAAAAAAAACCCCACAGAAGGGGACCAACTTGAAGGGTATAACTTTTAGCCACCCCGGGCAAACATCTACTTGAAAAAAAGATCCTGTTTAAAATCAATTTGGCGCCTTGGCGATTGTAGTTTTCGTGGCAGATCACGATACGGAAATATTCCCAATAAAAATACGAAAGAATGACATTGACCAAACTTCATTGGTTATTATTAATAATAACAGATTGATGTGATGAACTAGCTTAAATTATTTATTTTAACCGACCTATTTGGTTATTATTAACAATTGCCGGTTAGTAATAATAATAACTGACTATTCACACCTTAATAAATATATCGATAAGAAAACTCTGGCTTACGAAAGTAGAAGTGATATTTTTGAAGAGGAAATTCTTGTTTAAAACACAAACCTCTTTAAATTTTACTAAGAGCTGTGGAAATTCCAGTAGTCATAGTGTTTTTAAAAAGATTAGAAAAAGTAATCAATTTTCTTTTAACCAACAAACGATTGTGTCAGGGTATAAAGGTAGTAAAATTATTTTCTATATTCAACTTTTTATTAAAATATAACGCCATTTATAGTTTTAGAATGCCACTGTTGGTAAACCGTGGAAGTTAAATTATCTATTCCTGGGAAAATATTAAAATTATTACACTTACATTCTTATGCAATTGAAGCGCGCTTCTTTGATTCGATTTCTTTGAACCCGTTCGATCGCTGTTCAAAAGTAACCGATTTTCTAATTCAACTGTGACATTAGATAACTGTCAAGATTAAAAAGTTGCCCTCCAAACAAACTTATCTTTTTCTGCAGGTCACGTGTGCTGTATTTTTTCCCCGACAATGAAAAAAATTCATACGAGTTTTCACAACTATGGGCTGGGGGAGAATTTTAAAATACGACTTTCAAATTAGCGTCTGCTCCCCTAATTTTATTATATATTTTTGTGTCTGTAATCATCTGAAATATTACTTAAACTCTTTAAATACTTCCAAGTTTCAACATCATTTTTTTAAAAAATAGTTTTTCAAAATAGAATTAATAATGTTTGTTTGATTTAGTCCCGCAGTGGACAGATCGTAAAAACACGGTTTCCAGTAGAATACCGAGGGCAAGCATTACTGGCTGGGGTCAATAAGCGGCTGGTTGACCACTTTGATGAGCCTGCGTAGGAACCGAGGATGTGCTGTATCAGACCTCGTTAAATTGTTCTATCATAAAGTGCTCGACTTATCTAGCAGGTCGTCGAGCTACCAAAGCATGGGAGCCATCCCCTCTGCAGAGGATCAAAATTGGAATGGCATGTCTTCTGATCATCCTCAGGGATATTTCCCAGACAAGAGCTCATAGCGCATAGAGCAATAGCCCACAGCCCATATCGCCAATAGCCCATGGAGTAGCTCTAGTGTGACGTAAATAAATTACCTACCAACCTTGTTTGATTTGGAAAAGATAATTTAAACGATTTTGGATTTCAATCCCGAAATTACTGTATCAATGAAAATAGGTAATTTGAAATAATTGCATCGCTTATTTAAAGTTAGTATACCATTGTTGAATCAGTGAATTATTTACATAAAATTACCTAGGAGTGCTTGTAACATGTAACCAAATTTTTATCTTCCTATTTCCCTGATTCCCCTTCATCACCGTCATTGAACGGAGAGTATCTGCTTTGTGATTGGTTAGAAATAGCTCGATCGAACTTAGCCTTCGAGGTCCAACTATCGTGCTGTCACGTGAACAAAAAACGTTCGAACTGGTTCAGTTGTGTGTGAGTGAGAGAGAGAGAGAGAGTCAGGAAATGAACATTGAAAAATCGAGTGGAAACTTAAAGTTCGATCGAATTTTGTTTCAGTTGCATAAGGCTGTTATACCACAAATCTCTTATGAAGCATAGAAAAAGCTTTTTTTTCTTGTTATTAAAATAAAGCAATATAATAACAGCCACATTTTCACATAAATCAAAATCATATACTTTGTTTAAAACAAACTTGGTTTTTGAGTTAGAATAAATGTTCCATTGTTATCTTTTCAGATCCGTGTGAAAACGTTACTTGTAGAAATGGCGGAAATTGCTTTGTAGGTAAAAATGGAGCTCAATGTTTATGCCGTTATCCTTATGAGGGAAACTTTTGTGAAATAGGTAAATATATAGACAACGTTTTAATTTTAAAAAGAATAAGGATTTGCAAAGTTTGCACAGTCTAAATTAGCGTAGAAAGTCAAAAACGTTTTTCTTTTCCCATTACCACTATAATTAAAAAAGCATTCTAATATAGGTATAGTAATCCTATGGATTTATNATGAATGAAATTGATATGGTAACCATCTAAAATAGATGAATTTACATTCTCTACTGATGGAATCGGAAATAAAACGAGTCGCACTCTATATCAATTTTGTCTTAATACAAAAAACTATTTTGGAATCTTTTAGTAAAATGTTTATTTGAATGTAACTATCTTTTTAACTACACAAAAATGAATGTAAAACAATTGTGGGAAACAGGGTGTGGGGCCTCCTAGTATATACACAAACATTAATTAATAATGCTAATCATAATTTACTTCAAAGTCTTTGAAAATTTCGTTTTTTCACTCAAACTAAAAATTTTAATTTCCAACATTTAAAAAAAATTACCTGAAATATACGAATTAAAAAGAATTCGCAAGTTAAAAACTTTTGCTTCTTTTCACATATATTGGTAAGTTTAAAGTGGCTTTTTGAGGGTGTTAATACGTTTTTCTTTTAAATTTTAAAACACATTAACTGTTATAAAACATGTCTTGTACACTGTACTTGTCTTGTACTATTTCAATCACTTTTCAAACAGTACTACTGTAATATGCAAAAATATATTTTTTTTATTACTTTTGGATATACACTGTTAGAATTTTCATTCTGAAGTTATGATTAAATAACCGGAGTTAGTCTGTCCATTAACGGTAAAAAACATTAAACAGTTACAACTAGTGTAGTTATAAAACCATGAATACAAAATTATACGGTTCTCTTCATAGGGATAAAGTTTTTTTTTCTTAACTTGCAACGAAATCGACTTTATCGACTTCTAGTCAGACTTTTACTTTTAGACATTTACACTTAGGACTTTTAGCTTTCATTGATTTTAGTTTTGAGATTTTTTTTATCTCTTGTTTCCTTATTATTATAATAATTTAATTCTCGACATTTACACCGGTGCAATTGGATTTCATTGCCTTTAAAACATGTTTTTAATTGTCAAATGTTATAGTTAATCCACTTTTAACTGATCACCACCACTGTCATTTGGCAAAATTTTACAGTAGTTTTAGTTTTTAGAGAAATTTTTTATTGTAATAATTTTACTTTTATCTCCGTATACCCCTCTGGGGTGGGTCGGAGTTCAACCTATCTTTCTTAACTTGCAACAGAATATGGGCCTCAAGGAGAGTTCCCAGCGCAGGACAAATGCTTTTCAGTTCCACAAGCAAATAACTATGGAACTTAATTCCCTTTTCCTTATCTCAATAATGATTGGTCAGAATTTGGAAATATTTATTTTTCTCTTTACTAGAGGTTTAATGGATGAAGTTTTTGTGTGACATTTTCAGAGGTCCAGGCATTATTAGTCAAGGAAAATAACATTTTACAAAAAACTATTTTGGAATCTTTTAGTGAAATGTTGATTTGAATGTAACTATCTTTTTAGCTACAGAAAAATGCTTGTAAAGCAGATTGTAAATGTGGGAAAGAGTGTGTGGGGCCTCCTGTATATACACAAACATTAGTTAATAATGCTAATTATAATTTACTTCAAATTCATAAATCTTTGAAAATTTCGTTTTTTTTCACTTAAGCTAAGAATTCTAATTTCCAACATTACCCGAAAAAAATTACCTGAAATATACGAATTAAAAATTAGAATTTTCATTCTGAAGTTATGATTAAATAACCGGAGTCAGTCTGTCCATTAACGGTAAAGAACATTCTTTACCTTTACGGTATTGAAACAGTTTACAACTAGTGTAGTTATAAAACCATGAATACAAAACTATACGGTTCTATTCATAGGGATAAAGTTTCTTTTTTCTTAACTTGCAACGAAGTCGACTTTATCGAGTTCTAGTCAGACTTTTACTTTTAGACATT